AGACACCCCCTCTTGCCCAAGACAGGGTCTCACTATGTAGCTCTGGCTGTTCTAGAACTCACTCTGTAGACCAGGCAGCCCTCAAACTCACAGAGAACCACTTCCTTCTTTCTCCCAAGTGCTGGGATTAATGGCATATCCCAGTCTCTACCTGATCTCTAGCCTTACTTTTTAAAGTGATACACAGAGCATAAAAACATGAACTTTTAAAGAACTAGTGTATTGATTAGACAATTTCTTACCAGCAGTCTGCCTGGCAATACACACACCTTGATGTGCTATGTAAGAAACATATATTTTGGTTGATCTTAAGTAGTAAAATATTCAGTCATAACCACATACATGTCTGCTTAATGCTTGGCCATTATAATGAAAACCTACCTTAGTGTTTATATATATCAAAATTGATACTCAAAAGGCATTTTCTTTGGTTTAATTATTTAATGCCTCGAACAATTTTATGATAGTCTTGGAAAGTCTTTGATTATGATGTTTCTGTGGCCTGTAAATAAACATTTGCTTTCTTTCTGGGTTCCAATGGGCCAGGAAAGTCTACCTTATTTCTTAATTGACAAACTCGAGTTAGGTGGCTCTAACTCAGATATTTTTTATGATTTCAAGTCTGTATCTTTTTGGTAGGTACAAACTATTTCAGAACCTTGATCTTTCCCTTTGCAAGAATCTCTTCTGATGACTGGCTTTTGGCATTTCAGAATATTGTACTTTAGATTAATTTTTAAAATGGTGCTGGGAATTGAACTCAGAGCCTCACAGGTGCTAGGCAAGGGCTCTTCTACTAAGCTATAGCCCCAGTCACTTTGTAATTTCTGAGTTTGAGGCCCAGGTCTTAAACTTGTGATCCTCTTTGGGATTACAGACTCATACCAGCAGAGTAAGTGAGTTTTAAGAGTATTTTAGAGAACACAGAAGCATTCAAAATGTAGTCCTCCTAAGGTTAGAAGTTAACCAAACAAGTTACTAGTTACTTCATACTTGTTTTCTTTTTTCTTTCACAGATTAGTTGTTTACAGCCAATGCAAAGCTGGTTTGATAAACAGTGAGCTGCTTCTAGTTCTCTGAACCCATACTGACAAACTGAAAAACAGATAAAACGATTTGTATTTCACATTAATAATCCAAGAAAACTAGGGAGGAGGAACCATTAAAGTAATGTAGATTTTAATTGTATTACTCATAACAAACTGCAAACCTCACATAACTTTGCTTATACCTCCCAGTCAAAGTAATCACCGTGGGCATAAAAATTGGAAATAACCTTGGAAATTAGTTCTTTTATAATCTTAGTGTTTTTAAATTAAAACATTGGAAAGATAAACCCTAGACATTCACAGGCTCACAGAAATTCAAACCAGTAAAAGCCTTGTATAATGCAGACATATCAACGAATTTACATGTTATGAGGTGACATGAAAATTAATCTTTATTAATTTTTGTGGTTAGACAGAGGTTGCTAAGACAAGGGCCACTGCAGCCTTGTGCGAGCTTGTGGGCCTATGCCCGTGCCTTCTGCCTAAGAAATTAATGGCCGGCTTCTGAAGCGAGTTCAGGGTGTCCGCGCTCTGGAGAGAGTCGTGGGCAGGTGGTCTAGGAGGTTGCTGAAATCATTATACCCCCCTAACGCTCTGCCCAACAGGTGGGCAATTGGCGCTGGCTGCTTACCTTGCCGGGAACCCCGCGGTGGTCAGTGCTGCCTTGCCAGAAGCGCCGGCTGTAGTTTGTGATGTAACCAACCAACTTGTCCTGGTAGGGGAAGTCCACCTTCCAGATGAGGGACCCGTAACCAAACACCCACATTTTTCTGAACCCTGGCTGCTACCACGGCTTGAGAGCAGGACTGCTGCTGACGCAAGTAACTCAAGGCAGCGCAGGCGCGCTGGCCAAGAACGAGGCGCAAAGCACACTGGGGTTGCGGTCTCCCGGATCCTTTTCAGAGCTTCTACGAACCCACAGATCTTTTCTGCAGCCTAGGAAAGTCAAGGGGCGGGGCGGGTTGGGAGAACTACATTACCCACAACTCTTCAGAGACTAGTGACACTAAGGTTGGAGCTGTCTCCACCCCCCATTCCCCCCCCCCCCCCCCAAGAGTGGGTAAAAGAGAAAAGGCGTGACTAGTGCTGTCTTATAGGACACGCATATGGGCACCACACCTGGTAGGTAGGCATTTTGTTGTGACTTGAAAATTGGCTGGCTGCTCACATATAACAGCTACCTGAGTAGCAGAACCCACAAGGGTGATTCGTATAAGAAGCAGAAATTTTATAGCAGTAGTTTTATGCCTGTGAAAGAGCAACTAGATTCTAGTGGAAGCTGCTTACGTATCAAATTGCCAAGAACGCTCGAGTTCATAGTTAACGTTCTCTACATCTCCGAGAAGAGCAGTTGTGCTGTCCTGTTACTTAAACTCCACAATTGGTTTTTACAATGCTGTGTAAAGTCCCTTTCTCAGATGAATGGGTACTGTTTTGTTTGATGATGGGGAACTTGGAGGATGATGTATATTGTTACTGTACTTAACTTGGATTGTTGAGGAGGGTCCTTGTATCTAGATTCAATGCTTAAGGTTTGTTTTTTTTTTGCCTCCTGTTTCAGGTAGCTTTATTCTTGCAGAGCTATAGCAGGGCATATTAAAATTTATTTTAGAAGCTCTAGTAGGAAAATCTGTAGAATCTCAGGTGACTATTGGACTATTGAAAAACCTGTTCTCTTAGTTTTCCTTTGTTCTGTGTACTTTGTATTCTTTAGATTATAATGTGTCATGTATTTAAATTGCTCAGACACTGAAAATTAAGTGATGCATACATAAACACTCACACTCCGCACCCTAAAGATCAGAATGAGTTTTGTTTTATGTCTTCCGTTGGCATCTCATTGAAAAACAAGCTAATGTTGCCATAACTGATGTTACAGTGACTTAAATAGTAAGGAAACAAAACAATTCTCTTAAACTGTAGGTGTTTTTAAAGCATATATTCCAGGCAAAGGTTCTTAACATTGAACTCTTATACATGTCTTTAGAAGCTTAGACAATTATTAAAAATTGCAACATCAAATATCCTATATCCAAATTTCCATAATTATCTTGAAAGTGTTCTGGAGTCGCTAGCGCATGGGTAGTTGTTGTGACAGGATGTGTCTTTCAAAGAGTTCGTGTCAGAGTTGCCGTTAGAGGAGGAGAGTCTACTGCTCTTACAGCAGATTTTTCCTAGACTACTTTTTTCCTTTGAGGAGCTGAGAGATATTACTAATTTCTGTTATTTTTCAGGTTATTATAACATTGTAGCTAAGAGGGAAACCAGTAAATGTTGGACAGGGACTCATACATACCTGTTTTTACTCAAATATTGTTCCTTATTTTTAAAGTTGAATCCCTGTATGTATGTTTTCAGGATAGAAATAAGTTTTCTTTTATCTAAATGAACACATGTATAAACAAATGTGTTATTTGTTTTCTTTTATTTGTAATTATTTTGTCAAGAAGTTAGTATGTTTCCGAAAAGCATAGGTTAGCTCTCAGTATCCTACAGTTTGAACCTGAAGCTATCTCTTATTTTTCTACTGTTTTTTGTTTCTTTAATCATTCTTGCAAAGTGACATGCTTGTCTTCCTCATTGTGTCTTTCTTTTGGTTATACACCTTTTTTTGTTTCTGATTTTTCCATTTCTGACTAGTGATGCTCTTCTGCCCATTGTCTCATTTAGAAATCTTTCCTGTTAAATACAGCACAGCTCACATCCCTCATCAAGTAGACACAGATTCTTCTCTATCTATAGGACTTACAGTGTGTTCTACTTTCATGACACTATATTTTCTGTGTTGGACCACATATAGTTATCGTTCCTGTGAGGCTGTAAGCACTTTGAGATAGGATCTGTGAGTGTATAGTCCTCATTGCTGATCATTTAGCTTGTGCTTAAAAAATTACTGCTAATTGAGCAATTGAATGTTAGTTTATAAATATCTTCACTTACTGTAATGGTCCTTTCTACCTAATTATATTAATTCATAGCTGTATTAGCTTTTTGGCATAGTATAGAATCAACTTCAACTGTTACAGTTTTATTTTGAAGGTGACCATGTGTAAGTTTACTGGAATTATTTTATGCTTGTTTTTAACCTCTTTCTTCAAACTTTTTTTGGGTAAATTACTTAGAATATGGTTCTAGAAAGTTTTAATTAGTATTGGACTAGATATGTTGGCATTTTCGGACAAGCGTCCTCCCCCATCAGCCATTAGGAGAAATCAAATGTGGGATGGGGATAGTACTGAGACGTTTACTTTTTAGGAGCTGTTTCCCTGAGAATCCTGACTCTCAGCCCAACATATGCTGATGGTTTGTGAGAGTCCTATGCCGAGATCTGTGTGGGACTTTGGTTGCCAGAGAACATGAAATGAACTTGAAGGGCGGTGACTATGATGAGGGAAGGATCTTGTGTATGAGGTTGGGCTGGCTGGCTCGCCCTGTTTGTTGCCTTTGCTGTATTCATTCAGTGAGACACTTTGAAGGATTGAGCTCCGGGTGTTTATCCCCTCTGGAAAGGACCAACAAGAGTAGGAAAACGAGGACCCCTACTTATCCTTGCTTTTCTCAGTAGACACAATTCATTTCTTTCTTTTTATCATAAAAGGCTTTTTGGGTTTAACTGTTTGATACGAAGGTGTAGTAAAGCGGGATTTACAAGTGATAGTTAATAGTGGAGTCTCTTTGTTTTGGTGTGGTGTAAATAGGGAGCCCATAAGAAAGATCTGACATTTCTAGAGGGGGAAGATTGAACAGTAAAAACTACCTTGATATTTTAAATAATATTGCTAGGAACTGACTTGCGAGACATCTGGGGTGGGCTCTAGCAGAGGCTGTGTGTGATATGACAGATTCTCCTATTTTCCATGGGAGATGCTAAGACAAGCCCACTATGATGTGCTGATATCTAGTTCAGTGATGTTTTACTGACTAGTACTGTCTTCCTGCCTTGTTTTATAGACTAATCAAAAGGATGGATTTTACAGAGGCTTACTCAAGCACATGCTCTACAGTTGGACTTGCTGCCAGAGAAGGCAACATTAAAATTTTAAGGAAACTGCTCAAAAAAGGTAGAAGTGTAGATGTTGCCGATAACAGGGGATGGATGCCAATTCACGAAGCAGCTTATCACAACTCTGTAGAATGTTTGCAGATGTTACTTCATACAGGTAAAGTTTACGAAGGCAAGGTATGTGGGACTGTGCTATAAGCCAAAATAGTAAAATAAAAATATGGTAATAAATGATAGCATTTGTTTCCTTTTCTATAATTCTAAAATAAGTACTTATCCTATTAAGGATGGTAAGATTTCTGCCTTGGATCATGTTCCATCTAGACATCTATGAATATTATCTTTTATATGGAAATGTTTGTACTTTATTTACTTATTTTACATTTATTTATTGACATACTTATTTATGTAATTTGTATTTGTGGGGCATACATGTAGCATGTACCATGGTGTGCCTATGGAGGTCAGAGGACAACTTGAGGAAGCCAGTTCTCCTCTTCCCTCATGTGGGGATTAAATTTAGGGCAGCAGGCTTGGTAGCCAGCATCCATACCCTAGTCCATGTCACCAACCCTTTTGTTTAATTTTGACTTTTGTGTAGCTCTGGCTAGCCTGGTTCCCGTTATGTAGAGTAGGCTGGCCTGGAGTGCCGTGTCAGCCCTTTATTTTAATTAATAGTGCTAGGTGATGCAGAGTAGATTGCTGTTTCAATTTCAGCGTTTGAAATTTACTTAGAGTATGTACTCCTGGGTTTTTTTTTTTTTTGGTCTGGAAAAGGAAATAAAACAACAGGGACAATGCTACTAGTATTCTATTCAGACTAATCTTTTTAAAAATGAAAATATTTTTATGTGTGAGTGTTTTGCCCGTATGTATGTACACCACATGCATGCCTGGTGCCCTCTCTGGGCAGAAGAGGAGATTGCATCCTCTAGAACTGCAGTCAAAAATGGTTGTAAGCCACTGTGTTGGTGTTAGGAACCAAACCCTGGGTCCTCTTCAAGAGCAGTATCTTCTCTTAACCATCGAGCCATATCTCCAGCCCCCAATCTTTCTATTTTTAGAATACTTTTCTTTGTCTTTACTTTTGAGAAGTTTTCCAATTACTTGGACTTTTTTGCAGTACACCATGGACCAGAGTACCTGCCTTTATAGTGCTTGTATTGTTAGGGAAGATAGATAAGAAACTGATAAAGAAAAAAAAACCCAATAAGCAGGAGTGTTTCACTTTTGAGAAAGTGAAGCAGGAGTGGGATGGGAAGAGATGTGTGATATTGCTCACATTTTTATTACTGCATACGAAATGGTCAAGACCTCAACTGTACTGGGCAGCAGCCTGTGCTGCCAGCCTGACTTCTTTCTCCAGGGACAGCGTGTGAAGTGTAAACAACACTCCACTGAGTAAGAAGTCTGTGCTGGAGAGAGGGGGATGGAAGATAACTACTGGTGATGGAGTGCTGTGGTGTAGTTCATGTGCCAGACGCTTGGCTTACATTATTTATCTGTTGTTAGAGGTGACACATAAACTTACTGTTAATCCCACTGGGCTAGAATAAGACCTCTACCACATTTTTTGAGGCAAATTTGAAGCAAACTTTATTATATACTGAGCAGGATGATGGACACTGCCCAGGTTCATACCCAGGATTCCCATGGAATGGCAATCACTTTAGTTCCAGTGTTTATAAAGGCAAAACTTAGAAGGCTACGTTCTTCCTTTGTCCAGTCGGGTGCAAACATCCATCCTGATGTACTTCCTGCCTAAGTACCTCTCAGCTACAAGTGACTAAGCACATCCTGTGAATTTGGGGCAACCAATATTGTTTACAGAAGTGAAAATATGTGGGCTTGTTATCTTACATCAACAACAGCCCCCAGCATTCCAGGAAGTTATCTGCCCTTGCACAAGTGGGGCTTACAGGTTTATCTGTCCTTGGGCAAGTGGGTGCTCACAGCTTAGAGGCATTGTCTTTTCAAGATCTTTTAAGCACAGTAATTAAAACTTAAAACACAACTTTAACTCTCACATTAGCCCCAAAAGTTTTGCTTGGATTCAGAGCAGTTGACCTATCTAAGGTTAGTTATGTAAGTTATGTAAGAAACTAACTAGGTTATTTGTTTGAACTAATTTCTGTCTGATTCTGATGTCCTTGTTTTTTCTTTTTCTACCGTTTCATCATTCTAACACTTAACAGAGTAGACATTAATAGTAGTTAGCTAATTTTTTGAGACATGGCTTTATTTAGGACCTTGCACTCTGATTCACTCTCTTTCCATTTCCCGGGTGCTGGAATTCTAGGCCTGTGCCATCACATCAGGTGTACTGAGCTGCCTTCAAGTGAGGATGAGTGTAGCTGTCCATGCCATAATACTTGCCTTATAGGTCACTGATAATGGTACACTTGTCATAAGGTGTAGCTGCTTAGACCTCATTGTTCTGGTGGCTTTAAACACCATCCTATATGTTACACTTGAACTATTATCCCTTTGAGGTTCCTTGTTGTTTAACTGGTATATAGAAAAAATTCTTTATAATTTCTACTTCCATGACCAACTTACTTTTGTCTTTTTAAATGACTCTTTTCTTATTTTATGCAAATGGGTGTTTTGTCTGCAGGTATATTTGAATACCACATGTATCCCTGTTGCCTGAGAAGGCTGGAAGAAGGTGTTGAATCTCCTGGGACTAGAATTTTAGACAGCTGTGAGCCTCTATATGGTTGCTGGGAATCAACTCTTTTTCTCTGCAAGAGCAGTCAGTGTTCTTAACTGCTGAATCAACTGTCCAGCCTCTTTTGTCTTTTAAAAATTAACCAGGGTGTGGTGGTACATGCCCTTAATTGCAGCATTCAAGAGTCAGAGGCATGGATTTTATGAGTTTGAAGGCAGCCAGAGTTATGTGGTATAAGCTGGTCTCAAACAAACAAAGAGACAGACAAACAGATAAACCCCCAAAGAAACCACCACCACCATCAAAAGAAAATTATCTAAAGTACATAACATATATATATGTGTGTGTGTGTGTGTGTGTGTGTGTGTGTATGTATGTATGTGTGTATATATATATATATATACATATATATATATCTCACATCCATCTATCATCTACCTACCATCTCTCTGTCTGTCTGTCTATCTATCTATCTACATATCTATTTCATAGTTTATTTGAAAAAGTATGGACTTTTTAGATGCATACATGAGAAGTAGTTATCTTCTCCCCAAACTTGGAGGTGCTGATTAAGCTTGAGTGGATAGCCAGCCTGGGAGCTTCCTGTCTGTGCCTTTCTGTGCTGGAATTACATGTTCGTACTGCAGCACCCAACTTTCTTTTCTTTTTGGGGTGTGTGTGTGTGTGTGTGTTGTTAAAGCATTCAGAATCTTTTTAAAATTTTCTTTTTATTTATATGTAAGTATGTGTGTCTGTGAGTGGATGTCACATGTGCACAGATGCCAGTGAGTCTTGGAGACGGTATCAGATCCCCTGAAGCTGGAGTCTCAGGTAATTGTCAGCTGACTGACTTGTGTGTGTGTCTGTGTGGGGTACCAGCAAATGAGTACAGTGTCTACAGAGGCCAGAAGAAAGCATTGAGTTTCCTGGCGCTGGAGTTGCAGGTGATGGTATGCTGCCTGATGTAGATACTAGGAACTAAACTTAGATCCTCTGTAGCAGCAGTGTGCTCTCCACCCTGAGCTAGCTATCTAGGCTCTCACTTTAATTTTTGAGGTAGAAAAAAAAAAAAACTTGGAGCGTACTGATTAGGCTACGCTGCCTGACCAGCGAGCTCAAGAGATCATGCTGTGGGAACAGGGAGACATCAGTGCTTGGTTCCAGACTTGGTCTGCATGCTTGTGTAGCAGACACTTCTACTGTCTGAGCCATGTCCCCAGTGCCAACATGGCTTACTTTAAGCTGACTATGAGTGACTGAGGCTCAGGGATATGGATTTGTTGTACCCAGTAACATGTTTCAACATGGAAGTGGTTTCGTGTTAAGATTAAAGACTCCATGAGGTTGATGGACTGGTTACACATTGTGATTGTGGAGTGTTGGAATATTGCAGGTGAAGAGCCAAAATGACCTAGGGCTGTCTGTAGTCTTTTTTAATAATATCCAACTCTCAATCCCCCATATCTGTATCTCAGTTAACATCCTTTTAGCTATTGGGAACAAAGTTTTGGGGTCTATTAACATAATAGACTGCTAGTTTCCAGCAACCCAAAGCTAAGAATGTTATCAGTTAGCATATAAAACCTGTACCTCAGCCTTTTCCATCTTGCTGTAATCCAAATAACCGATGTTTCCACCAATATATTTGGAAAATGTCTTCATGTATAATATGCTTTTGGTCTGTGACTATAAAAGTTCATGTAACCGCTTCTCCATTGGAACAAAGCAACCTGAGCCCATGTTTCCATGGTATCTCTGTTCTCTTTGGTGTAAGGGATGTGCTTTGCATTGCTAAAGTTTGATAATGTAATCTCCTTGACACAGGCTTGGCCCATCTTGGTGATAGGTACTTTTGAGATTTGGCCTCATCAAATTTAGCTTAATTATTAAGATATGGTTCTGTTCTTAATTTTTAATCCATTTCTAACAAGAACCATGTTTTTCTCTTAGTGGTCAGTAAAACCCAAAATAATAGTTTCCTACCATTACTGTTAAAAGTAAGAAGCTAGCTTATTATTTACAAGTAAAAGTATACTTTGTGTCAGATGTAGGGTGAGGTGCCATTGGAGAGTGTTTTTCACAGATGGCTGACACAGGCCCAGCTCACAGAGTCCCAATTCTCAAGTGAAATCAAAAACTTACAAGGATTATGGAAGACCTTTGTGATCACAGTGCTTGTCTATTCGGAAGTCTTTCAAGCTTACTTTAAAGTTTAGTAAGTAGATGAGACACAGAAACCACTCTTTCTTCAATGAAAAAATGAACGGAGGCTGAGGCATTCATTAAAAACTGAGCCATTTTCTTCAAGTAGCCCTCTTGTCAGGAAAGGAAGGAAGTCAGAGTGATAGTTGATGGCCTAGTTAGTACAAAGCTAAAAGGTCCCTTCGGTAAAAATTCACAAATTGATGTAAGGGAACTAATTAATTATTGGAACTTCAACCAATTTAGATTGGGTTTTGAAACTCTCCCATCTCTCTAGAGTCTAC